TTTAGCAATTGTTAATATTTTAAATGTTCCTGTTATGTTGTAAATAAATGTTTAGATATTTAAAACACTTACTGCTTGATCCTTCCCCTGAATCTGTGTCTGGGATAACGGCTGGGGACGGTTGGTAGGGGATCTCTGTGAGGGTGATGAAGATATCCTGGCTGTCGGGGAAATCAGCGTTGTAAGCGCTGTCGACTGCCTCGTCCTCCTCATCTCCTTCCTCCTCTTCCCCGTCCGCTGAGGAACCGGCCGCGGACAATATCCCATCCTCAGAGTCCACGGTCAGTGGTGGGGTAGTGGTGGCGGCCGCACCTAGGATGGAATGCAGTGCCTCGTAGAAACGGGATGTGTGGGGCTGGGATCCGGAGCGTCCGTTTGCCTCTTTGGTCTTCTGGTAGCCTTGTCTCAGCTCCTTGATTTTCACGCGGCACTGCGTTGCATCCCGGCTGTATCCTCTCTCTGCCATGGCTTTAGAGATCTTCTCATAGATCTTTGCATTCCGTCTTTTGGAGCGCAGCTCGGCAAGCACGGACTCATCGCCCCACACAGCGATGAGATCCAAGACTTCCCGATCAGTCCATGCTGGGGCCCTCTTTCTACTCTGGGATTGCACGGCCATCTCTGCTGGAGAGCTCTGCATCGTTGCCACTGCTGCTGAGCTCGCCACGATGTCCAAACAGAAAATGCGATTCAAACTGCCCAGACAGGAAAAGGAATTCAAATTTTCCCGGGGTGTGGCTGGTCAGAGCATCCGAGCTCGGACTGCTGTCCAGAGCGGCAACAGAGTGGTGCACTGTGGGATAGCTCCCGGAGCTATTAGCGTCGATTTCCATCCACACCTAGCCTAATTCGACATGGCCATGTCGAATTTAGCGCTACTCCACTCGTCGGGGAGGAGTACAGAAATCGAATTAAAGAGAGCTCTATGTCGAACTAAATAGCTTCGTGGTGTGGACGGGTGCAGGGTTAAGTCGATGTAACGGCGCTAAAGTCGACATAAACGCCTAGTGTAGACCAGGCCTCAGTGATTTAAGCAGGAATTGGATTGAAAGTGAAACTTACAAAGGCAGCTGTCTGAACAGCTATGGCTCTTAACAAGCATCTTAATTGTCAATTAGCCAGTTATTGGGTAACCGGTTTTATGAATGAATGTTGTGTCATTCATAAAACTTTACTTATGAAGTTACATTAATAAACTGAACAATTAAAAACAATTTCATTCATCAGTTCTACAGTTACATCATATTCACACTTATAAACATATTTCCATAAAACATATGGAGTGCAACATCCTCCTGGTTCACAAACTGCCAGGGATGGAGAATCCCCCACGGCCCTGGGGCAGATGTTCCAATGGTTAATTCGGTGTCTCCACTTCCACACTGGTAAAACTCTGCTGCTTACATCCAGCACCTGCCCACCCAGCTGTGCCCGATCCCGCCAGCCCTGTGAATCTCGGCAGCGAAGTGCAGCTGTTATTTCTGGGCTGGGCCCGACACAGGAGGGGGGCTGGTACCCAGGCCACACTTCTCAAAAGGGCCCCTGGCTTTGGGTGACACCTCGATCCTCCCGGGCGCGTGAACCAGAGCCAGCTCTAGGGCCACTGGGGCTCTGCACAGTCGCCCTTCCGCCTCACTCTGCCCCCTGCAGACACCAGGGTACATGATACAGCCCCTCCCCAGCCCCTCCCGTACTCACCCCTAGCAGCCACTGCCCCCAGGAGGCACCAACAGACCCCCAGAGCGACAGCCAGGCCCATGGTTCCTGCCCTGGGGAGGGGTCTCACCCTCTGGCCTTGGGGAAGGAGCGGGCGAGCCGGCCGGCAGCCCCTGCAAACAGCCTGTGGACTTTGCTCACTGCACGCCCAGGCAGTGCCAGGTGCGGCTCCCTGCGGGGCGTGCCGTGTGCCGTGTGCACAGCTAATCCTGGCACCTGACCGGCCAGCGTCCCCGTGCGCCCCCCGCACAGGGCTCAGTCACCAACCAGGAGCCACCTGCCTCCCTGCAGCAGGAGGACACTGGGAGCAGACAGCTCTGCACAAGGCCATAGACCCCCCGGTGCAGGGAGAGTCCCCGAGCTAGACATGCTGTGGGAGAAAGTCCCGATTTCCTCATGCTGCAACCCCAGCCAGACATCCTCAGTCCCACCCAGTCACGGGGAATCCTCCAATCAGGGCAAGCGGCTGTAGCAGCTGGAAGAGTGAAGGTCACTGATTGGCTGGAGGCCTGATCACCATCTGTGATGAGGTGAGTGGGTGCTGTAACCCCAGGCAGAGGAGGCCCCTTGTACCCAGGCTGGGGGTGTCTTTGTTAGCAACACTGGCCAGACCCCATGGGCCTATCCAGCGCAGTACCTGGATCAGACCAATGGGCGCATCTAGCCTGGTACCTTGGCACCAGCTCTTGCAGAAGAACACCATGCTTTCCTGTCTAGAGAACTCTGTAGCCATAAAACGTGCCCATAGTTCTGCAACAATTCCACTTTGCACTAAAGTCAATTGTAGGATTCTAAAAATTGATACAGTATAATGGATTATCCTGTGGAACTCCCTGCCACATGATATAAAAGACAAAAGCTAAGAAGGATACCAAACAAGTTGGAACATTTCTATCTAATGCTGCAACATCTGAGCACCTCACAATCCTTTTATCATCATGCCACCTTGGCAGCAGGGAAAGGCTATTTTCCTGATGGGGAAACTGAGGCCTAGAGAGACCAGGGTCACCCAGGAAGTGTGGGGCAGAGCCAGGTCTCCCAGGCTAGCACCCTAACCACTGGAACACCGCAGGCATACTCAGAACAACTAGCCGTACACTGGGATTCAAAGATATAACAGAGATAAATCCCCTAGCCTCAGGGCACAAGCCAGTGAGTAACCGAGGGGGTGGAGGTGTGAGGGGCACAGACTGATTCAGGGGGGACTGGTCGGTCTTTGGCTTGACCGGCTGGTATCCACCACCCTGGGCCCCCAACGCTCTGGATCCACGTTGCTGAGGGAAATAAATGATCATCGCAAGGGTCAACTTTCCCTCGACAGCCTGGTGCCCGTCGCTGCAGGATGCCGGGGCAGTTCTAGGGACCAGCCCTTGGTGGGGTCAGAGTCTCCTCCGGAGCCCTGACGTTTGGGGAGCAAACAGCCGAGCCAACCACGGTTTCATGGTCTGTATTTTATTAGCTCAATAACAGAGCAAAAGCATCAAACAAAACACATAGTCAAAGATGGAAGAACATGAAATCATTCAGTAAATTACTTAATGTGCTCAGGCAGGTTCATTAAACCATCCCACACACATTCACAACCCCTGCTAAGGGCTACGTAGCACTCTGGGAAGGCGGCGGATCTGGGTCGCTAGCAGTACCGCAGGCACAGCGCATCCCCAAGGCGAAGCCATACGTTTGGGTTCCTGCCAAAGAGCTGATAGAGGGAGGGTCCGATCCCTCCCTGGTGATGTGAACATTGGCAGCAGAGCTGTCGGTGCCATTAAGGCGCCTGCCCGAATTATGGCTGATTCGGTAACAGCCGATCTCTTCCCCACGTCACAGTGACACATTCCAATACGCCCGGTTACACTGAACGCTCAGACGATGAATGTAATGAAAACAACAGGACTTCGTAGGGCTAAATGTACAGGTGCTAACCCCCAAAATACCTGCAGGTGTGACCTTTCCAATCTTTCTCTCTCTCTCACACACATACACACACAGAGGCCAGAACGCTGAGCCAGAGGCGTCTGCTCCTACTAATGAAAACTAGAAAACACCCAGAGAGGCGGACGCTTTTGCAGGGTGTTTTCAGCATGATTCTCGGGGTCCATTCAGCCGGCTGGGGTGCAATTAGCCAGAGGCCTTGTCAGCTCACGTGTGTGAAGGTTGATGGCTTTGCAGGCCAGCTAGTGGTGAGTCGCTTGTAGGTGTCAGACCTTCGACACCCCACGTTGCTGGATATCACCCCTCGGTGGCCAGCTGGGGGTGAATGAGGCACAGGGCACGGTGTCAGGTGTGGCGACATGGTACGGCCAGAGGCCAGCAGCCAGTGCAGGCCAGGCCGGCCTGACAAGTGAAGGCCAAACCTCAGGCTCCCTTGGCCAATCAGAACGGGACACTCTCTTTCTGAGGTCACTGGCATCACCCAATGGGGTCTGATTAGGACCCCTTTATGCAAATAAAGGACCGTCTCATTCCCATAATTTTGAGCTCAGAAAGCCCTCGGATCCAAAAATAGATTCAGGTCTGTAGGTCTGTAGGTATCTGAGACAATGGAGGTCCTGGGTCAGCCCCAGACAATATTTGACCCAGTCTGCAAAAGTCCTGGCCTTATTTTAAATGATTTAAAAATTGCAAAGCCAGCAAGAAATTGGAACTGAAAAGGAAAAACCCCAGTCTGCATTTCCGGAGTCAGGGCGAGAGAGGGACACGTCCTCAGCCTTCCGCTGTTCCTGCTCCACAGAGAGACGCTCACGTATTACACACGTGGTGAGAGTCTGAGACTCAGCGGCTCAGCTTTGCGCAGAATAATGGGGGTTTGGTGGGGGAGGGGGGGTTTGACACACAACATTCAGGGCAAAGCTCGGACCTGAGCTCAACCAGAGCACAGAGTCTTTTCCTTCTGAAAATCACCATTTTGGGATTTGCTTTTTCCAAGCAGGCCCATTTGCCTCTCAGATGGGGGTGGGGTAGCCCATAATTCCCCTCTGTGGGGCTCCCCCACCCCCGTCTTTGCCAGCTCACCGGGCTCTGTGCCAGTTCCTGCTGCTGGACAAGGGGAACTGCCCGTCCCTGATGCAGGCAGCGCGGCCCCCGCAGAGACGAGACACTGGAGCGAGTTGGCCCTTTGGGGAGAAGTTGAGGCAAAGTCCCGGCTGCAGAAGCAGAGACGCAAACCCTGCAATCGGAGAGCCTGAGGCCCAACACCCACAGAAGGAAACTGCTCTAACGACCAAGTGGGAATCTCCCCCGGGGCAGGGGGGAGTCAGAGGACAGAGATCGCCCAGCCAGCGGGGTCAGGAGCTGGGCAGGGTCACTGCCCCTAGCACTGGGGGTTTGTTCCCGATGATGAGCTGGAGGCAGAATCTTCCCCGCTCTTTGCTGTGGAGAGAGAAGAAAATCGTTCAGAGGCAGCGTTAGCTCTGGGGATCCCAGCTAGGGAAGGGGGAGGGGAATTCAGCTCTGGTCTTCCCCCATACTGCTCCCCCCACGCACCCCACACTAACTCCTCTCTATGGAGCGACCTGCCCCGGGCTGGGAATGGACACGGGTTCGAATCCCAAACGCAGCGGTCGTACCCGCCCCCGACAGACACCGCCGGGCTCTGGCTTTTCCCTCACACTCGGAAGCTCCCCGTCGGCTGGTCTGGGACTCATGCAGCCCAGCCCCATCAGTGCCCACATTCCCTCTGCACCCATGATGCACTGGGGCCCTGGGCCCTGTACCCTGGATTTACTCACTGGCTGCTGGAGCGTAGCCGGGATTCATGGGGCCTGAAACACAAGCAGAGAATGAGGGTCAGTGCAGGGGAGCACGGTAACCCCTCCCCCACGGTGACCCTGACCCTCCTCCCCTGGACACAGGGCTCCCCGTGACCCTGACTGCATCTCGCCCAGGCCAGCCCCACCCCAATGCCCCCCCCATAGCAGCGCACACAGTGCCCAGCCAACGACAGAGCCCACTCTGCCCCCAGCAGGGCCGGGCTACGGTGACTGACCCTGCCCCATGGCCCTGCCCACCTCTCCTTGGTGGGTAGTGGGAGAAGCCATTCCCCCTTGGGCTGGCTGGGCCGCCCCACTCCCCAGACCTCCCCACATCTTGGTTCTGTGGGGACCGGCTCTTACCTGCTGATTCTTATTTCCACAGGATGACGCCGGCCCCTACGGCTCCAGCCAGAAGCAGCACGGCCAGGACGATGGCGGCCAGGACGCTGGGGAGCAGGGGGCCCTGGCTCTGTGGATGAGGGGAAAGCAGCGGATGTGTTATTCCTTGACTTTAGCAAAGCTTTTGATACGGTCTCCCACAGTATTCTTGCCGCCAAGTTAAAGAAGTATGGGCTGGATGAATGGACTGTAAGGTGGATAGAAAGCTGGCTAGATCGCCAGGCTCAACGGGTAGTGATCAACGGCTCCATGTCTAGTTGGCAGCCGGTTTCAAGCGGAGTGCCCCAAGGGTCGGTCCTGGGGCCAGTTTTGTTCAACATCTTCATTAATGATCTGGAGGATGGTGTGGACTGCATCCTCAGCAAGTTTGCAGATGACACTAAACTAGGAGGACAGGTAGATACGCTGGAGGGTCGGGATAGGATACAGAGGGACCTAGACAAATTAGAGGATTGGGCCAAAAGAAACCTGATGAGGGTCAACAAGGACAAGTGCAGAGTCCTGCACTTAGGACGGAAGAATCCCATGCACTGCTACAGACTAGGGACCGAATGGCTAGGTAGCAGTTCTGCAGAAAAGGACCTAGGGGTCACAGTGGACGAGAAGCTGGATATGAATCGACAGTGTGCCCTTGTTGCCAAGAAGGCTAACGGCATTTTGGGCTGTATAAGTAGGGGCATTGCCAGCAGATCAAGGGACGTGATTATTCCCCTCTATTCGACATTGGTGAGGCCTCATCTGGAGTATTGTGTCCAGTTTTGGGCCCCACACTACAAGAAGGATGTGGACAAATTGGAGAGAGTCCAGCAGAGGGCAACAAAAATGATTAGGGGGCTGGAGCACATGACTTATGAGGAGAGGCTGAGGGAACTGGGATTATTTAGTCTGCAGAAGAGAAGAATGAGGGGGGATTTGATAGCTGCTTTCAACTACCTGAAAGGGGGTTCCAAAGAGGATGGAGCTCGGCTGTTCTCAGTGGTACCAGATGACAGAACAAGAAGCAATGGTCTCAAGTTGCAGTGGGGGAGGTTTAGGTTGGATATTAGGAAACACTATTTCACTAGGAGGGTGGTGAAGCACTGGAATGGGTTACCTAGGGAGGTGGTGGAATCTCCTTCCTTAGAGGTTTTTAAGGCCCGGCTTGACAAAGCCCTGGCTGGGATGATTTAGTTGGTGTTGGTCCTGCTTTGAGCAGGGGGATGGACTAGATGACCTCCAGAGGTCCCTTCCAACCCTGATATTCTATGATTCCCAGGGGCTGTGGGATGGAGAAGGGCCCAGGTCACTGACGGGAGCTGCTGCTGGGGCATCCTCCTGGGGCAGCCACAGGCCTTTGCCTTGAACGTCTCGCCGAGGGCGTCTGCAGAGACCTGGCCCCAGGGGAGGGGAAAGGCTGAGCTGGGAGGTGGACTGGGATGGGGCACAAAGGGCCGGTGCTCTGCCAGGCACTGCCATCCATGCAAAATATATAGCAACCAGGCCCTTCACTTGTAATATCATTAACCTGTGGAACTCACTGACACAGGAAGGTATCATGGCCTGGAACTTAATGAGATTCTCTGAGGGATCAGACATTTCCGTGGGTCACACGAATACCCAGAGCTAGACGAGTTCACACTGACAATGGGCAGGGATATTGACCTTCCAGCGGCCCAGCCTCACCCCATCTCTGTAACTCCCATGGGGCTGTGCCCCCAACCCCTGGGTCCTGCCATTCACCCCCCCTCCCATTACCCCAGCCAAGCGGGGCTCCGGCAGGCTGCTGTGCTCCACCCGGCAGGCGTAGCGGTGCCCGTCCTGCTGCGGGGAGATCTCCAGGGACGACTGCGTGTAGTAGGTGCCGTCGGCGTTGGGCAGGATCCCGCTGGAGTCTGTCTCCGCCAGGATGTCTTCTCCGTCCCGCACCCAGGAGACGTGGATGGGACGTGGGTAAAAGCCCCTGGCGCGGCAGGAGAGGGTGACGGAGCCGTCGGGGGCGTCTCTGCGGGAAACCAAGACCTCGGGGGGCACTGGGGTGAGACACAGCACATGAGCCACTTGCCAGGGACTGGGACAAGTAACAGACAGAAGAAAAAAGGCCCCGCAGCATGTCGAGTATTCATGTGTGTGAGAGACCTGATCAGCACCCATTTACACTGATTAGTAACTGGAGCTAGTTAATCTAGTGTAAATCCCTTCTACAGACTCACTTAATCTGCTGCTCACATCGCTGTAGCTGAACTGGGTTGTTACCAGAACAGGCCTGGGCCTGGGTCTCCTTGGCGGCGTGCTGTCCCGCGCTATAACACGGCTACGCCCAGGAAGGCTGTCACTGGGCCACCCAAACACACGTGTGCGATTTAGGGGCTAAGGGCCAGATTTCCAAACGCCCCTCGGTGCCTAACCGTGGTGATTTCATGGGGGGCCAGGCGCCTCCGTTCGGAAATCCCAGCTGGCCCCTGTCTGCATTGTCAGGGACTTAAATCCCTTTGTCACATGGTCCCTGTCCCCGTCCATGTCTCTGCCCTCGGCTGCAGAGGTACCAGCGCTGGGCACAAGAACCTCAAAACAAGTTTTTATTTGTATGACAGTGTGCATCCCCCTCCCCCGCCCCACCTCCTTCACACTCACAAAGGGCTGGGCCTTTTCTGGACCAAACATGCCAAAAAAAATCAACTCACAGCCCAGAGCTGGGACGTTTCAGCCTGAAAAGGGAAGTTTGAGGGAGCTGGAAGCCAATGGGAAGATCCCAGAACCAGCTAATTACCTGTCTGCAAATAACAACCTGTAGCTCTCATCTAGCGCTTCACATCAGTCAATCACAAATAGGGTGAGCAGACGTCCCGATTTTACCGGGACTGTCCCGATATTTGCTTCTTTGTCCCGCATCCCGACCAAACTGGACAAACAAGAAATTTTGCCCTCCGCTCTGGCGCTCACGCCCCCCCCGCCCCGGCTCCGCCCCCTCCTTCCCCCATTGGTTCCCTCCCCAAATCCCCGCCCTGGCCCCGCCTCTTCCCCAACCACGCAGCATTCCTCCTCCCTCCCAGGCTTGCAGCTGCATGGCAGCGCAAGCCTGGAGGGAGGGGGTGGCAGCAGTGCGTGGATCCTGGAGCTGATGAGTCAGCTCCGGCACCTGGGCACCGGGCGGGCAAAGGGGGGCTGGCAAGGGAGGGAGACGGTGGGGCTCAGCTGTGAGCCCCCCGCTGCGCCAGAGGGCTCCTGCCCGGGCCGCTGCACCCTCGGGGCCGGGAGCGCAGCCTGGAGGCTGCTCCAGCCCTGCAGCCCGCGGGGCAGCGCGGAGCGGGCAGGGGCCGGGTGGGCGGCGCGGGGGCGTGGGCCGAATCCCCGCTGCTGCCAGGGAGCCCGGCACCTCTCCCTCCCACTCGCGGCTGCAGCTCCTTCCCAGCGGGACGCGCCCCCCGGCCCGCCCTGGGCACATGCGGCGCGCGTCCAGCGGCTCCTTCCCGGTGGGAGGGAGACTAGGTGCGGGGGACGCGCGCCGCATGTGGCCGGGGCGGCGGGAGGCGCGTCCTGCTGGGAAGGAGCCGCAGCCGCGAGCGAGAGGGAGAGGTGCGGGGCTCCCCAGCAGCAGTGGGGATTTGGCCTGCACTGCCCACCCGGCCTCTGGCCGCTCCGCGCTGCCCCCGCCCGGACCCACCGTGCGCCGCATATGCCCGTGGCGTGCCAGGGTGCGGGAGGCTCCGCGAGGAGGGCAGCGCGCGCGGCCGGGGCCTGCTAATGCCCCTGGTCCCTTTGAAACTCCTTTTTTTTTTTTTTTTCCCCCCCCCTCTTTTTTTTGCTCCCCCCCCCCTTGCGTCCCGATATTTTATAGTGCTGATCTGGTCACCCTAATCACAAAGGGCTTTACAAAGGACGTTGGTGTCATTATCCCCATTTCACACATGAGGAAACTGAGGTAAAGAACCCAGAGAGAAGAAAGGTGTGAATTTCCCAAGGTCACCCAGCAGGCCAGTGGTAAAGCTAGGACTAGAACCCAGGTGTCCTATATCCCATGGCAGTGCACTATCCATTTAGCCACACCACCCCTGCCAGACAAGCCCCCGTACCATTGGAGTCACTGTGCCCCATTCCCCCAACAACACTGTTGCTCACTCACCCTGCTGCTCCAGCAGCATCCTCCCACCCTGCACCAGGCGCCGCAGGGTCTCCAGGCACTCGTGCTGCAGGTACCTCCGGACATACGGAGTCCAGATCTTGTCCGTCTCCCAGCGCTGCTTCGGGGCAAAGGCCGGCTGCACGGCCGCGACCCACGTCCCCGTCTGGTTGTCAAAGCTGATGAAGTCCCTCCCGTCGTAGGCGTACTGGAACCTCGGGTCCATGGGGGCCTGGTCGCTCAGGGCACAGCTAGCATGAAGTTGCCCAGTGTGAATCCCTACGGAGAAAGAGAAAGACCTCAGAGGGGGGCTCGGCCGGACGGTGACACCAGGGCACTGGGAGCTGGGAAATGTGTCTGGGGGGGGGGGGGGGGGGGGGGGGGTCAGAGGACACTCGGCCGGTCGGTGACACCGGCACTTTACCGTCTCTGACCGTGTGGCGGCCTTACGCTGAGCTAGGGAACAATCCCAGAGGACACGGAGAAGCAGGAGGGGTCAGAGCAGACCCACGGGAAGGACTGAGGGGTTGGGATCCTGCCGGACACTTACTGAGCTCCTGGAGTCTCTCCAGCGGTGAACATGAGAGGTGCTATACGGGGTGAGACCAAGGTCTGACACTGACCAACACCAGAGATTCATAGGGAGTGCACAGAACAGGGCAATTCTGGAGTGATCCACCCGTCTTCCCCTCTGGCAGGCGGAGGCTATGGGCACCCAGAGCATGGGGTTACATCCCTGATTATCTTGGCTAAGTGTCCTCCAGGAACTTATCTAGTTCTTTTTTGAACCCAGTTATACTTTTGGGTTTCACAACATCCCCAGGCAAGGAGTTCGACAGGTTGACTGGGTGTTGGGTGAAGAACTACTTCCTTTTGTTTGTGTTAAATCTGCTGCCTAGTAATTTAATCAGGTGACCCCTGGTTTTTATTGTGGGAAAGTGTAAAGAACTCTTCTCTATTCACTTTCACCAAGCAGTCATCATTTTATAGCCTCTATCATATCCCCCTTAGTCGTCTCTTTTCTAATCTGAACAGCCCTATTTTTTTTAGTCTCTCCTCATACAGAAGCTGTTTCATACCCATGATCATCTTTGCTACCCTTTTCTCTGAACCTTTTCCAGATCCACTCTACCCCTAGTGGAGATGGGGTGACCAGACCTGCACGCAGTATTCAAGGTGTGGGTGCACCATGGATTTATATAGAGGCATTATGATATTTTCTCTCTTATTTTCTCTCCATTTCCGAATGGTTCCTGACTTTCTGTTAGCCTTGGGAAAGGCTGTTTACACAAAATTGTAATTTTTCAATTTGGCCAGAAAACATTGATTTTCTGTTGTGGAAATTGAAAGGGAAGATCCCGGAGTTGCCCGGCTCCCTGCCTGGGATTCTGCTGACATGAAATTTCCAAAATATTTTCTTCCCGTGGGAAACCTCCAATTTCCAACTTTCCTTCTGATCGGGAATGAAACCACTTCTGGGAATAACACATTTTCTGTGGGAAGAGAACTCCATTTTCCAGCCAGCCCTTTCCTAATGGTTCCTGACTTTCTGTTAGCCTTGGGAAAGGCTGTTTCTGCAGAATTATAATTAAATTTCAATTTGGCCAGTAAACATTGATTTTCTGTTGGGGAAATTGAAAGGGAAGATCCCGGAGCTGACCGGCTCCTGCCTGGGATTCTTCCGAGATGGTATTTCTGAAAAATTTCCTTCCCATGGAAACCTCCCATTTCCGACTTCCCTTCCTATTGGGAATGAAAACACTCCCGGGAATAACACATTTTCTGTGGGAAGAAAACTCCATTTTCCAGCCAGCTCTGGTTTGGACAGCACCTGGCACAGTGAGGCCCCGATCCCCAGTGGGAGTAATTGTGAGCGGGCAGCTCTCGCATGTCCATTAATAACAACAACTCTCAGACACTCACCGCCCGTCTGGTTGTGCAGTTGCATCCACCACCTGGTCTCAACTTTAGACACCTCCTCGTGCCACCAGAACTGCTGGGTCTTTTCCTGGAGATACTTAGCGCCCAGGGCCTGTGCCGCCCACTCCTGGGTGGGTCTGAACTCTCGTGCGTCACTGCTGTAGTGCGCGATCTGAACGTCATCCACGCTGGTGATCATGGTGAAGTGATAGGTCCCATCTTCGTTGATGACTCCTGTGACTAGGACGGCCAGGCTGTGGCGCCCTACAGCAACAGGAGAGAGGTTGAGTTAACAAGCGGCTTCCTTCCTTGCTCAGGGGACACTAGGGTCACCCAGTGGGGACCAGCAGAAACCTCCCAGCCCCGGCCACGTCCCCCTGCCCTCAGTCCCATCCTGGGCGAGGGACAAGCTGGGGTCTGTCAGTGACTCACAGGAATCAGGATGGGCGATCTCTCAGTCCTTGCCTCTGAAAGTCGGTGGCTTGTTTAGGGGGGGGTCAGACATTGACGGGGGGTTAACTGCCCCCCATGAGCAAATGCCCTGAGGATGGGAGGGGTGGATGGGCAAACTGCCTACAGCGGAACTGGGGCGTTTGTGGCCTGTGTGCCTGTCTGTGGTGTGCGTGTGTGGCGTGTGCGTGTGATGTCTGCACATGTGTGAACCTGGGGGCTCGTCGCTGTCAGTTTGTATTGACTTTTTGCTGAAAAATTCCTGGGTTTCACAGAAGCCGTTATTTGGTGTTTACTGATTTTTACCCCAATTTTGGGTCACTCAGGCACACAGAAATACTGATTGTGGTAAGAAAATCCAACCTGTGAGAGCAGGTCGATGTGTTTGTGTGAATAATAAATTAGTGTAAGTGTCACCGCGAGACTGCCTGTTAACGTAAGGCAATGAAGAGGAGAGCGCGCCCGCACACACACACACACACACACACCCCCTGTTACTGTGCAGTTCATGAAATAAACCACAGCATTAAACACCTTTGACTTTCACTACTCAGACTTTTCCCTCTTTGTTAGCTTTTTCCTGACCTCCCCTCACCCAGGTGTAACCCCAACTTTGCTTCCACCTATCTAAGCCCGGTGCCCCCTGCCCCCCAGCCGGGCTACTGCACAGCACTGCCGGAGCCGGGGTACCAGGGGTAACCGGAGCTCACCCGCTTCTCATTGGTGACACGGTGTTTTGCTGAGGTGAGGTGACCCACTGCTGTATTTACCCCGATACCACTGCCCGCGAGGGTCGCTGGGCCGGTCCCCCTCTGCTCCCGTAGCGTGGGCCGACTCCTCTCCCTGTGTCACTCACCCTGGTTTGACATCACCCCTAGGGGTGGGGGGCGGCTCTTGGGCTAGCGTGTGGGGATTTCTGGCAGAGCCCCCAAAGGAGGATGGGGGGACGCGGCTCAGGCCCATGGAGGAGACGGAGCCGAGGGGCTGGACAGTTGTAGATTTCAAGGCCAGAAGGGACCATTCATGATCTGGACTAGGGCAGCGCCTAGGAGCCTCCATCCTGGCCCAGGACCCGGCTGCGCGGGTGCTGTACAAACGCAGAACAACCCAAGGAGCTCACGCCCCCTCTGCGCTGCTGTATGGCCGCCCCATGGGGTGCCCCCCCGCCACTCCCCCGCCCAGCTGGTAACTAGCTGTTCTAGTGCCCGGAGCCAGCAAGCATCTTTGTGCCCACTACAAGGTTTTTTCGTCATATTTCCACCCCGTTTTTCCGCCCGGGCAGCTTTGCGCCCTGTGCGGCTGCCCCCCTTGCCCCGCCCTGGTTACAGCTGTTCAAGCCGTGGTGCATAAACTGCTCTGGTCGCGCCCCCCCCCCCATCATTCACAGAATGTGTCGCACCCGCCCCCCCATTACTGGTAATTTGCATTAATCCGTCTATCGGTGCTGCTGCTGACGGCGGTGCTGCCTTCAGAGCTGGGGTGGGGCGGCTGCTGGCTGGGGTGGGGCGGGAGGACTAGTTATTTAATCCTGTCCTTGTCGTATCCTTGGGGGCAGCGGGTTCAGGAAGAAATCACTTGAGACCAGAGAGCGGAGAGTATTAAAAAGCACCCGTTTATTTACACACACTGATCTAACCTAACCAGCCAAAACTGGCTGGGCTATCCCCTAATAATCTAACTCAGTTGCCATAGGAACAACAACCATGACAACCAAATATACAACATATTCCTCCCCCCTTAATAAGAACGTCCCCTAAATAAAACACACACTAGACTAGAGAAGGAGGGTAGACTGCCTCCATTCCCGGCTAAACCCTTGGGATTATTTTGCCCATAACCGTGGGTTTGCCGTAGCTAAAGATCCAGCCGACGAGGAGGCCTTCTGTCTCTAGGTGGATTACGGCGAACTTCTGGTGTTGTTGCACCCGAAAGTACCATGGGTGCAGGCCTGACAATGGGCTCAGGGTTCGCAGCGCAAACGGGTGAGGAGGAGGTATCAGCTCGTGCCGGGCAAGGAGGTATCTAGCCGCCGCCAGTAATGGAGGAGAACCGTCAGGAACAGGTGATTCTTGATTCGGGGTCTCACCAGAAGAGGTGAAGTCAGACAACTCAACTGAAGATGTGTCCTGAGGGCTGGCATGACCTGGCAACAGCTGATCTACATGTCGCCGCCAGGTGAGATTCTCTGCAGTCCGGACTGGGTAGGAAACAGGTCCTGTTTGAGTGATGATCATGGCAGGGACCCATTTAGCTCCAGAAGTATAATTCCGAGCCAAAACCGGCTGTCCCGGGCTAAAGGTTCCGTCTTTTGCTCTGGGTGCCCGTCTGATGACTTGATATTGCTGCGGACGTTGCACAATTTGTCGGGGTTCAGAAGGTTTCAGCAGATCAAAGCAAGTGCGCAGCTGTCGTCCCATCATTAGAAAGGCTGGGGATGCCTTGGTCGTAGCATGAGGTGTGTTTCTGTAGGAAAGTAAGAAGGTATCCAGACGCTTTTGAATGGATAATTGTCCCCTTGCTGATTTCAAAGCTTGTTTCATTGTCTGCACAAATCTTTCAGCTAATCCATTGGTGGATGGATGATATGGTGCTGAAGTGATGTAGTGTATCCCATTTGCCTTCATAAACTTCTGAAACTCCTGAGAGACGAACTGCGGTCCGTTGTCGCTCACAAGTTGTTCTGGCAGACCGAAACGACTAAAGAGTCCCCGTAGTTTTTGGATAGTACTCTCTGCAGTAGTGGACTGCATTATAGAGACTCCTGGCCATTTAGAATGGGCATCTACCACCACCAAGAACATGCTTCCTTCAAGGGGCCAGCGAAGTCAACATGAATACATTGCCACGGGTTTTCAGGCCAGTCCCATGGGTGTAGGGGTGCCCACTGGGGTGCATTCCTCACACCCTGACATGACATACAAGCTCTTGCCAATAGCACTGTCCAATCCAGGCCACCAAAAATAGCTTCTTGCAATTTCCTTCATGCGCACTATTCCACAGTGACCGGAATGTAGCTATTCTAACATCTGTGATCTCAGTGGTGGTGGGATAATGACACGTCTCCCCCACAACAAACAACCAAATTGGATCGATAACTCTGTCCTCCTGGACATGTAGGTAACAAGGTCGGGTGATACCAGAGAGGTTTGTCAAAATTTTCCATGCATTACCAGGTCCATAACTTGGGACAACACTGGGTCAACTCGAATTGCCTTCTTTACCTGAGTAGCGGTGATGGGTGTATTCTCTACCTGTTCAAAGTAAAATATTTCCTTTTGGGCACTATCTTGATGTTTGACTGGCAAAGGCATCCTTGAGAGACTATCCACATTGCCGTGCAGAGTGGATTTCCGATATTTGATTTCATAGGTGTGCGCTGAAAGTAACAATGCCCAACGTTGCATACGACTAGCAGCTAATGGGGGAATGCCTGTGTGGGGTCCAAAAATTGACGTCAGAGGTCAATGGTCTGTGAGAAGAGTAAACTTCCGCCCAAACAGGTACTGATGAAACTTCCGAATTCCAAAAATGATTCCCAATGTCTCGCGTTCGATTTGGGCATAGTTAGTTTCTGCTTTGCTTAGAGTGCGTGAAGCAAAGGCAATAGGTCTCTCTTCTCCCGAAGGCATAATGTGTGACACGACTGCTCCCACTCCATAAGGGGACGCATTGCAGGCCAACTGTAGGGTTAAGGATGGATCGAAGTGCGTCAGAACTTCAGAATTTAGCAATGCATCCTTAGCTTTGTTAAATGCAACATTACACCCTAGGGGATGCACCGATGTATTGCGCCTCCTTTGTAGCCAGTTCCATGGAGACAGCAATATCAACAGCCTTCTGTAAGGTAAGCTGAGTCTCCGTCAATAGGCGCTTCCGTACAGCTTCACTGTACAGGCCACACACTAACCCGTCACACAGGGCATCATTTAACATCTCCTCAAATTCACAGTGTTCTGCAAGCTTTCTCAAAGTTGCCACAAATTGTACAACTGTTTCATCTTCTTTCTGGTCTCTTTTGTGGAACCTATATCTTTCAGCAATTACCAGTGGTTTGGGGGGAAAATGGGACCCCAGGATTTCCACAATGTCACTGTAAGATTTGGTCTCAGGGTTAACAGGGTGTAGTAAGCAGCGTAGCAGGGAGTAGGTTTTAGCCCCTACAACACTTAAGAATATTGGCACCTTCTTCGCTTCTGTAATGTCATTTGCAATAACAAAAAGCTCAAAACGCTCAGTATACACCTGCCACTGCACTATATTCTCATCAAAAGTTTCCAGTGTCCCAGTAAGCGTAGCCTTGGTTTTAGTTTCAGTTTCACAGTCAGTGCAAACAAGCAACAGCTAAAAGAGTTTGGCAGGTTTTTTTTTTCTTTTTCTTTACCTTGACTTCTACTTCCTTCTGATGCTGGGGCAGCACCGGCATCCCATCCTCGTCGCCACTTTGTCATATCCTTGGGGCAGCAGGTTCAGGAAGAAATCACTTGAGGCCAGAGAGCGGTGAGTCTTAAAAAGCACCCATTTATTTACACACGCTGATCTAACCTAACCAGCCAAAACTGGCTGGGCTATCCCCTAATAATCTAACTCAGTTGCCATAGGAACAACAACCATGACAAGCAAATACACAAGAGTCCTGCCCTGCAATTTCTGCTCTGTTTTTATCCTGTGCCCACTATCACGGCAGTGGGTCCTGCGGGACCAGCAGGATCCCAGTTTGTTCAGCCCCCGCCAGAACCTCTTGTGCCCCCGGAGGGTTGCACCCCCCCGTTTGCCCCCCCCCCCTGTCCGAGGGAGCCGCCCGGCCCGTTACGGTGACACCCCCCGCTGGGGCCCCCCTGCCCCCCCAGCCCCCCTCGTACTCACCGCCCGCCGCGGCTGGAGCCAGGAGCCCCCCGCAGAGCGCCAGGAGCAGCCCCCAGGCCATGACTCCTGGGCCAAGGGGGAAATAGGCGCCTGTATAAGACAAAGCCCCGAATATGCAGATGTGGGGTCACCCCGCACGCGGGGCCTCAGCCCAGCGGGGACAGGAGAGCCGGGCAGCCTGGCACACACCTGCTGTGTCACTAGCACTAGCACTATCACTTTCCAAAGTGTAGCAGCTGCCTGTGACCGTCCAATCAGGACGCAGGCAGAGGCGGTTTGTCATCGGTATCCGGGCAGACCGGGCTGTGCGAGGTTACTGCACACAAACATCCCATGGCTGCGGGCCCATGGGCTCCCCCAGCCTGGCCTGTGCCCGGGGTGCGAAGGGACGGGGCAGCACTGCGGGCGGGGCGGGGGCTGCAGGGCCTGGCGGAGCCCGGGGAGCTGGGCGGGGAGGGGCTGGACCGCTCTGGGGCAGGGCACCAGGCGCGGGTACCATGGGGCACGGGCACAAAGGGGGCGAAGGGGCCAGGAGCAAATCCCGGCTGGAGGAGAAGGAGGTTTCGGACCCTCCGAGGGGCGAGGCTGGAGCAGCCCCCATAGGAGCTGGGGGGGCACAAACCATCCCTCCATTGCCAGAGCCAGCTGGCGACTGGACTGTGGGACTGTCTGGCGGGCGATCATAGAATCACAGAATCTCAGGGTTGGAAGGGACCTCAGGAGGTATCTAGTCCAACCCCCTGCTCAAAGCAGGACCAATCCCCAACTAAATCATCCCAGCCAGGGCTTTGTCAAGCCGGGCCTTAAAAACCTCCAAGGAAGGAGATTCCACCACCTCCCTAGGTAACGCATTCCAGTGCTTCACCACCCTCCTAGTGAAATAGTGTTTCCTAATATCCAACCTAGACCTCCCGCACTGCAACTTGAGACCATTGCTCCTTGTTCTGTCATCTGCCACCACTGAGAACAGCCGAGCTCCATCCTCTTTGGAACCCCCCTTTCAGGT